CAAAAACACACACCAATTTTCCACTCTGTCCCAGGTTTTTTAAGCAAAGATTAGGCTAAAATAGAGTCACATCACTCGTTCACTTGACCTATTACCAAACTGAAGTTAGTTAACGATTCAGGAAATAGCTAAAGGGCGATTCCACCTAATTATTCACTACCTTCTGCATCTTTAATCAACTCAAGTTAAAAACAAAAACTACAACATCTAGACCAGTGTTTCTCAACCTTTTTCGGGCCAGCGCCCCACTAGCCCATATCCAGGTCCCTCACCGCCCCCCACCAAATAATTTGCAGGCTACTTTGCACTAACTAATGTAGATGTTTTGATTTTTTTGCTTGTTTCTGTATTTATCATCAAAAATAATTTCCCATTGAAGAAAAAAGCCATGGGAATAGCAATTATTTTCACAGGCGTTTACAAAAAATGCAATGAACATTCAAGTTAAAATCTGTAGGCCTAACAGCAGCCAATCAGTGGGAAAAATATTCTTATTTTGTGCCATTTTCTAGTTGTTAAATCTTGCACAAAATGATCAGATAAAAGATGTTCAACATGCCAGTTTAAACTTTGAACTATTTGCAAAACGACTGAGCTCTGCAACATTAAAACATCTATAAAACTGTAACTACATTAATCACAGCTCTTCTTCTCTTCTGGTGGTGCAGCTCTGTGCTGCCTTCAGGAGAATGGGACATCAGAGTATCATCCATAAAACTTCACCCACATGGCATTTATTGTGCAAACCAGAGCTTTCAGTGGAAAAACTAAAGTTCCTTTTAATGCAACACAAATATGAGACAGAAACATGGATTATATCTTCATATAGACCTGTCTATTGATTATAGATTAATAGTTTTACTGGACAGAAATTACAAAGAACAAATCTGGTTCTTGATCAAATCCTAATGAGTCAAACTGAAAGTGTCATTGAGTCGTCAGCCTCATGACATTAACACCGACATGAAAAATAATATTGAAGAAATAAATACATCAAATCTAATTAAAAACATAAGTGATAAGTTATTTACTGTTATGGTCTGTAAGATATTTATTCTCAGTATCAGATATGGCGTCAACAAACTCATGGCACTTCAACAATATAGTTTTACCTTTTCTCTGGAAATGGTGTCTATTTATTCTTGCCAATACAGTCTCTGTATTAATTATTGCTCGAAAGGTCTTGCCATACCAGTTTATTCCTCTGTATTTACTTTAGTTTCTTAGTTTATTCTTGCATTTTGTTATTCATTAATTTCCATTTAGTTTCCTTTGATTAGTAATTATCCTCTCTTGGTTTATTGCTATGTCCACTTTAGTTTCTTTCCTGTTGTAAGATTTATTTTATTGTTTATTGACCATCATTAATCTTCACTCATCACCTGCTGCGCCGCCTAATCGTCATGTTTCACATCATGTGTAGATTTTTCACTGTTCATCGTTTTTATGCCATA